TATGTTAAATTAATTCATTAACTTTATTTTAATAAAAAACAAAATAAAATAGCACAGTATTACACCAAGATCCCCAATAAACCTGCTTTTCAGTTGACTGCAGGCCCACAAACGTCACCTTCAGCACGGCAGAGGTCCCAAGCGCCACCTGGTGGTTGTCCGGGTACATTGCAGTTCTTTTTGAAATAAAAAAACTGGCCTCAGGAAATACATCGTGATTCACGTGGGAATCACACAGGAATCACGCAGGAAACCGTCCATTTCCAACCAGTACCCACTGTAAGTTAAAGTTCTTAGTAATTATCTTACTTAAAGAGTAGAAATACTAATTTCATTAGCAAATCATCTTATTTATCTACTCAAATTAGGAGTAAATACACTTAATTTAAGAAATGTTGACCTCGAAATAGGTCAACATTTCTTAAATTAAATGTTTCAAGGACCATATTTGCAGTGTAAAGCCTCAAACTCAACGCTATTTCTGACATTTTGAATTGAAAAAGCTTCCTGGATGGAAGAGAAACGTCTTAAACTAGGAAACCAAGTCTAATTAATTTTTTTTTTTACTTATTGGGAATCAGATATTAATGTGTATTTTTCTGGACTCTGATCAGACCCTTAACATGAGGGGAGTTACCCAGCAACCATCAACTTATACTTTAAATCGTTGCTCATATTTTGCTCTTTATTCTGTAAACACAGCATGCTAATTGATGCATTTAGAAACATTGTTTACAATAAATACATTGTGAGATTAATTTCACAAGATAAATTCCAAAAGCCTCCATGATTGGGCTTGTTACACTTTAGTAACAGCAGGGTTATATTCTTAGGGGTGGGGTGGTTACTTTATAAACATAGCAGTTGATGAATGTTAATTACATGCTCCTCACACAGGGAGTAATAAAGCAAGTTCCCAAAGGAGGTTTTCCAAACCACTAGGCAAGCACAACTCATACTAATGAGCATGAACTAATTTGTTGTGATATTGAACAGAGGGTTGTTAATAGCAGGAGCCATCCCTCTCCCATGGAATAATTATTCTAATCACTCATTTCAAAGGTGATTAAAATACTTTCACCTGGCAGCTTTTCTGTAACTACCTGCACTGGCATGTGGTTTGGGACCTGCGGTCAAAAAGACATCACATGCTGCCAGAAATCTGAAAAGTAGACCATATGGGTCCCTCTCTTTCAGGTCATTTCCCTGTTCCTCCACCCTAAGAGCCGTTTGGCATCATCAACCTGCATCCTGACTGAACTGAAGAAGGAAAAAGTATCTAGAACTGCCCTGAATATCCCTAAGAATAAACCATGTCATTCCAACATCTCTATGCTGAAATACACACCTGAAAAAAGATCAAGAAATGCGTAGAAAATTCTTGAATTACTTTCTTTTTTTTTCTAATTTGAGTAGTTAAATGATATGGTCTGCCAATGGAATGAGCATTTCTACTCTTGAAATAAGATAATTAGATAATATGCACTTTACATAACAGACTGCAAATGTTATTTTTTTTTTAATTATTCTAGATGTAAATTGGCAAACTTACCTCCTCAGATCAAGAAAAGTCCATTATTTTAAGCCCTGAGGGTCTTAGGAGCTAATTCCATATGTGAATTAAAGCAAGAACAGCTCCCAAACTATAAATTGGAAATACAATTGTTTGTATTTGTGTGACAGAAAGGCATTTAGGAATATTCTACAGCTGGAAGCACTATTTTAAATGTCACCATGTCTGATTTATAA